CCCCCCCTTGTTGGAGAGCCCTCTTGAGCCCCTTCCAGTGTTGTGCCAATGCTTTGAGTGAACTTTGAACATTATTATTAGGCTTCACACAATAACAACAAGCAATACTAATCCTTCATGGATGCAAACTTGAAGCTGAAGGTAGGTGTTGCTACTGTAGTACAAAGAACAATAACAAAGATAAATACCTTCAACATAATAGCCACAGACATTACGAACATGAAATAGTGCACTTTACAAGGAGAAAATATTTGGTGTCGAGTCTGTGCGCAGTTTTGTGTTCGAACGCCAATGAAACAACCCCACCCAGCATATGGAGGACCCACACAATATATCAAATAAGAGGGAGAAAAAGTTGTATTTTTAGAGGCGAGCGATCCCGGCCCGAACAGCCCAATTACGAAAAAAAGTTGTTCTCCTATTCAAACCTACGTCGTTCCATTCTCCATTGTTATGGTTTCCTGTTCTGCTCGAACCCGCGTCGCGCCTTTATTAGTTTTTCCCGTTTTTCTCATGAGGTTCGGATGTGTGTCGCTGGCGCAGGGGATGAGTTTCAGCTTGGAGAATCGGAGCCGTCACGTTGTCGAACGTAATGATGTCTATCAATTTCGGGTATTTCTTCTCTCTGCATCGTTGAGCACTTATTAAACTCATTTAGAATTTTTTAGGGATTTGTGTGATAAAAAAATGTAAGTGAAAGAGGGAAAAACAAGAGCGGAGGAGTTTCGAGATAGTTAGGTCATTCTTAATCAGTGTATAGTTATTTAGATGTATAAATTATTCTTCATCGCTAAATATATAGGCTTTGTTCGATGCACGCTCACCGCATGTTATAGGGCGCAATGGAGAAAAAGGATTCATGTAGCCGACCCCACGTAGTGGGATTAAGGCTTTGTTGTTGTTCTTGTTGTTGCTAAATATATTTCTCCAACACAAATTTTTTGGCATTATTTGTTCACTATACTGTTTCATACATTAAATTTCGGCTATATATATTCATAGATTTATTACTAAAAAATGTGTACTTGATTTGACAAGGAGACTTTGTTTGATGAGTGAGGAAAGACAGTAGATAACCGGAATAACACTTGAATACCACCCCAAAACAACTCAACGACATTACTAATCCACTCAATATTACTTGAATATTGACTCAATAACACCTCAAAACCACTTCAATATCACCCCATAAATGTCACACCTAACACCACTACTAATTTACTTCAATATCGCCACCCCAATACTGCTTCAATACAAACCCAACACCACTCAAGTGCCACCTCAACACCACCTCGGTACCACCCCATTAATATCTTATTCCAAAAACCACAAGATCACCCCAACATTAGCCCAATATGTTGGTCCTTCATAAGTTCGGTGGTGTTGTTCTATTGGCATCCGGACGCAAAATTACGTCCAGACTCCACACCAAATATTTTCTCCTTTGTAAGAAGCCTAGAACAAAAATCCAAAGAATAAAATAAATAGTAGAGATTGTTTGCCGCAAACATAGAAATTGCGGGACATTGGTACCCATGTGCAAGCTTTGAATTGAATCTACTTGTAATAATAAACCAAACTGATATGAATCGAAGCCAAAATCGACAAAAAAAATGCAAAAAATGTATGGGAAAACCCAAATTAGGATTAATTTAACTAATTTACAAGCAAATAAAAAAATGCAATGAGTGATTTACAATTCAAGATGTAGATTGACTCTCCCAAACCTAAATCCTAACGCCTACAATTCGAGAGGTAGGTGATCTCTCCCAAATCCTAATCCTAAGACTAAAGACAAAAATCTCATAGTTTAGCCCAACCCTGAGCATAATAAACTCTATTTAAACCCCACAATAATTAATAAAAGACTAAATTGACCTTAGTTGTTGGTCTAAGACAAACCTAATAAGGTAATCAAAATATTGGAGAACTCATCATATACCTTGTTACGTTCAAAGACAAACTTTTAAACAAAAACTATGAAGTGAAACAACGGTAGTAAACATCACTACCCAAAATATGGATTTCCTCGCCTTAATAAGTATCTCCTATGTTTCTAACAAGTGTGTTCTTTCAAATTTCTATCAGAGGCATCCTATGTTGTCATTTTATTTGATGCATCTATGCCTTGTATAATAGAATCCAGGTTTCAAACATCCTACTCAATTATATCATTCATTAAAAATTTACATGTGTCGACTATTATCTCTCTATGTAAAAAAAACCTTCCTTTCATTAATATATTTGATAATTTTAGTAATAATGTGCAAATCGGTGAAATGCTAACTTCATTTCTTTATTCCAACGCATACTTATGTTGAACAAAAATTTGCAGGTACTGATTCTTTCCGGGAACAAGATAGCGCAATGGCCTGGTGCGATATTATCATCCCTACCCAGTCTTTCTTTTTTGAAGCTTGATAATAATCCCCTGTCGAAGGTAAAGTGCGTGTGGATACTTAGTTTTTCTTGTTTTCTTATGGTAAGTAAGTTGTTGAATTAATTGACGGCATGAGATACATTTATATTTTCTTTGCATGAAACCATACAACATGTCATATTACTAAAATTAATTTTCATAAATTGGATTCCGACATCACTTTCTCATCAAATTCATGAGCACTAATGTAAATAATAAATTTTGCAGATGCAATAAAATATAAAATATAAATACTATTAAAAAAAAAGCCTAATGCTATGAATATATGACTTCTCTAAAATTAAATAGTCACATTTTATCACACTCGAAGGAATTGCTCATTCAGCTTATACTCACAAGATTGAAATTAGAAAAATAAATTTTCTTCTTGACTAAAGTTTCTAATTACATATTTCATTTCAACAAGTGTTAAGAGTCCTCATAATAAGATTGCTATAAAATCAGTCCCAGTCGAAGTTTAAATTAATTTTCAATTTAATTTTAAATTTCAAATCAACCAAAGAACAACCAGTTTAATTTTAAATTCCAAATAGGAAGAACAGTAAGCACCCAATTCCTGCAATTTCTACATCCTAGGAGTAGAAAATCACAGATGGCCGCAAGAAGGAGACACCATATGTTGCGTCCAGCTTCAGGTGCAGTATCTTTCTCATGCTCCAATCTCATAATCACACGATTGCACGAGTAAGAGGGTAACAAGTGATAAACCACCTACCATAACCAAGATATAGCTAAAAACTTCCAAACAACAAATCATCCAAAACCCAGCCCCTAAGAATTTAGAGAAGCATTGCAATTTACAGTTTATTAAGCCTCTTCAAACTAATCTCCTTTATTGTTTTCCTTCTTGTTATCTTAATTTATCTTGGGTGCATCGTAGAAGATTATACTTTTCTTTGTAATATCAATATTAAAAGGTTTTGAATTATTTTTTTTTTCCTTGTCTTTGAATACTGCGAAGTTTCTACGAGTAAAGAAAAAAAAGCTGGAGGAATGTAGTTAAAATTATGAAAGCAAACTAATCTTCTATATACAAAAACCTTTTAAATTCTATCTCATTATATCTTACATTTATTTTACATTTGAAAGTAAACTCGTGGAAAGTAATGTCTAAATTTCTTTGACTGTGAAATTATGTATGATTAATGGTGCATTTGGGGCGGCTGGGTCTTTTTCAAGAAGCAGAAGTAGCTGTTGCTTCTTGAGGAAACAACTTCTCAAGTGCTGTGAGAAAGTTTATGTGGGAAAAGTGGGAGTTTGTTTGGATAACCTATTGTGTTGTTGTTATTTCTAATGAAAAAGACTGTTTTGTTCTTATATATATATATGTAATATATCACAATAATTACAGTTTTCAAAATAATTAGAATAATGACATAATACATAAAAAAATGACTGGTCATTTAATGCTGGTCATTTCATGCAGATAACAAAATAAAGAGAATCACCAAAATAATCAGCAAGCCTAGAATGATATTTGTTTTCATGTCTTTACGATCAAGTTTTCGGGATAATCTCCTTTCCATAACAACATCTCTTCTGACTTGATCACTGTCTGGAGCGAACTTATCTGTGTCACATCTGTGTCAACAATCGAATGAAAATAATTGCAATTTTTAACAATATTTAGGTGTCATGTTTCTAGGACAACAGTAAAATCTTCTTCTGCAGCTGTTTTCCTTTTTTGAATGGTAATCATTACACCGTGCGTCACAGTGGCAGGATGGAACACTCGAAGTACCTGATGCTCTTGAACTCATATTTCTCGTGATTACAATACATTATGACTTCAATTGACCAAAAAAGTAGATATGCGACAGAAACATTAAAAAAAATTAAACAATATTACAAGAAAAATCAAACTTAAAAAGGATACATAAAGAAAACCTTAACACAGAATGCTACAAAGATTTAGAAAGTATCATCGTACAGCTGAAATAAGAATCATCAACAAGAAGTCGGTAGGTAATACTGCATAAATACATTTGATACATTCACCAAAGCATCAATAATATCTTCTCTTACCTGGATCACATATTTCACATATTCTCCCTCGTATGTATTGTATTCGTTCATACCAAAGTCCTCATTGGGCATTGAATGTCCGACCCTATGTTCGAATGTTTTTTATGGCATGCAGGTTGTCTAAGACCCTGACATCAATATCGTCTTGGGATGGATGTCTTTGTAAAAAATTATGGAGCATTATTGTTGTAACAACTATCTTGACTTGTTTTTTGAAGAATTACGTCGGCATATTTCAGAGTATGACCCACTTCTTCCATACACTGATTGCTCTATGGATAACACTCTGTAATGACGAGTGTATTTTATTGAAGAGTTTATTTCTCTCACTAAGTACTTGGCAGCTGCACTCAAAATCTGGAATGTGATACCTCGTATCGGGAAATGGCTTCAAGAAACCCGTTGTAATGGATATCCTGAATTGACGAGGTAATATATTTCTTAATAATAACATCATGAGTGCATATTCTAAAATGAAAAGATTCATGTAATATTTTAAATGTACTAACATTGGGGAGATATTGAAAATTTTTATCCACGTCGTCGGGTTGCAAATTTAAAATTTGATTATCATGAGCGCTCTCTTCCTAACCAGTCATCAAAAACGTAGAATGCATTGAAATCACACACTGCTAAGATGCTCTATGTAACAACCCTACACCGTCCAGGATATGCGATCTTCTCATCATTGCACTCTCTTCCTAACTAGTCATCAAAAACGTAAAATACATTGAAATCACACACTGTTAAGATGCTTTATGTAACAACCCTACACCGTCTAGGATATTTGATCTTCTCATCATTTCCCATGCGTATATCGACATGCATGTCATCAATTGATCTAATACAATTAGTTTTTAAAAAAATTTTAGACCTTTATTTTTTTCTTTAATGTAGTAATGTTATAATAGGTAGAAATACTGATACCTTGGAGAACAACATGTATCTCGAATCGCTATGGATTTCTCATGGTGTTTGCGCAAAAGTGGAATCGCTACTGATGAACTCATTGTGTGACAATAAAAAACGTGATGGCTAGAATTTTTCAAGATATAAAGTGCGACGATTTATGTAAATCATTTTTAGACTGCAATTCATCGAGCAAATCACATAAAAGGTTTTTTGACATCTGGAACATGCTATGAATTCTGCTTGGATGAGCTTCGAGTAATTCCTCAACCTATTTGTCACCTAAAGATGATGATGACACACAAGATGTCTTACACAATTTTTTTTTTGAAAATACTCATTGATGACACAAACTATTGTAGTAAGGATCGTTGCTCTCTCGATTGTCTCTATAATTTCTTCTTCATTTGGTGGATCCATCTGTCTAAAAGATGCATGTTAGAGTTTAATAAGAACATATTATGATGGTAGTGTAGATAATTGTTTAAATGACTCATAATGAAAACATTACAAATATTCAAATCCATAAATACTGAAATGCCAAATAAACATGAAACAATCCATATTCATCCTGGAATTGTAAATTATTACAAATAAAAAATCCAAAATAGTAGTAACAAATAAAAAAATGCAACTAGCTTGTCTAATTCTCTAAAAAATATCAGAGATAAGGAATCCTCTGTTCCAACGCCAGGTAAAGAAAGTCTCCCGTTTATTTTGGTCATCTAGAATTTTTACAGCAAATAAGTAGAGGAGTATGTAATAAAAAAATCTCTAGAATAGAATCCAACAGCTTTGGAACATTTGTCATTGTCGGGTATCCATGCAGAGCAGTGCGCGCATTAGATATGATATTTTTTATTAGTTCTTTCTTGAAAATTTTTTGTGATATTTTGCCAATATTCTGTTTTGAAATGTCTGGTCGGTGTATTGCTAATTTTTATCTTCCTCAAGCATAAATCACAGACTATTATATTTGTTTCTCTATCCCAAATGACAAACATCCCACATTCCTTTTATTTACCCATATGATGTATCAATCGATAAGAAAATGTGGTCGAAATAATATTATTTAGCAAGTAAAGCAAAATTATTTAAAGGCAAAAAGAGGTGAAAAGAAGATTTCAAAGTAAAGCTAAATGAGATCAAGTTATTAGAAAAGGCTCCATCCAGGATCACCAATTATGTCATTTAGGCTTAAAACGAGGTAGTATCTGTAACAAGTATGTGTGGTCAATTATTAAATTCACAATTGGTGATCGGTTGAGCCATTTATTCTGTTTTTTCCATCATCACTTTACAAAGCATTTCAAAAAAATGAAACGCATCACCGAAACAAACTTCAAAACCGTCACTGCGAACGAACAATTGCACAAACTCAAGAAACTAATAGGTCCACAAACTCACCAAACAAACAACATCAAATAAATAGCAAGAACTAAACCAACATCACACAATTCATGTATCAACATATATCAAACATTGAAACTCTTTGGTTTCAAAATCCCAACTTGCTCAACAAAGTTATCACTTTTCATTTTCATTATGTTCAATTCGGAAAAGTTATGCATGGAAAGATATATGTGCATTGCTCTTTGTTTTGAAAATCTATGTTAAAGCTATTTTATATATTAAAGTTATGATGTTAGGTAGTTATTTTGGTTGCACTTGTCTCTTCCTCCAACCAGAGAAATATTTTATGGAGAGAAATATGAGCACATCTTCTTCATTAAACTTAATAAATATTTCTCATGTTCTCTCTGCCACCACCAGAAAATTGCATTGATCAGATGGAAATCTGGAAGTTTAGCTATTAGATAAGTTAGATACAGTGTTTTACAGTAATTGCATTTCATTGTTTCTTTCAATCCAAAGAAATATTTTCTGAAGATAAATTTGAGCACTGTTTGTTTTTATTTGAAAAGGTATATTATTGAGAATGTCTTTTGCTCTGCTACAAACATGAAGTTTAGATGCTAGATAAGTTATTTCCTTTCACTTTTCTCTTGTTCAATCATGCTAGCCAAAACAACACCTCGAACAAACCATTAGAGCTCAGTGAAATCTTTTAATCAAAGAAGGCTCCATCCAAGATCACCATTTTTATCATTTAGGCTTCAAGACCAATGTAGCATCATTGATAAACACTTGTATCTGTGATCTAATAACAGGTAGTATATGTGGCAAAACTTATTTGTCAATTTTAAAAGTGACAATTGGTGGTCGGTGGTTAAGCCCTTTAATAGTTTTTTTTCATTATTGCTCTAAATAACATTTCAAATATGAAATGCATCGCGGCAGAAAAATCTATAACCATCCCAAGTACCAAAGCATAATCCAAATTATTCGGCTTCTAAACTTCAGGTTTGCATCAGCTCAAAGACATTCCCAATATAATATCAAAGGCATTTCCGATATATCTCTCCGGAGACATTCCAAATGGTATAATTTTTCAAAAAAAAATAAACTGTGCTAAAATTTTTCCTCAGAAAATGTTTCTCTGGATTGAAGAATAGGTATGAGCAAACAAATTAATCATCTAACATCAGATCTTTAATATATAAAACTTTAATATATAAACTACCCCCTACATAAATTTTCCAAAAAAAAAAAAAGAGTTGTGCATACAATATCTCTCATTCCATAACTTTTTCTGATTCAGCAAGTTGAAAATGGAAGGTCTTATCAATATCTAGCATCTAACCATCACATATGCATCAGAAGAAGCATATCCATTATGGTATAATTTTTCCAAAAAAAAAAAAAACACATTGCTAAAATTTCTTTCCAGAAAATATTTCTCTAGATTGAAGAAAAGGCAATAGCAATCAAATTAAACACATAACATCATAACTTTAATATTTAAAATTGCTTCAACATAAATTTTCAAAACGAAGAGCAATTTTCAAAACAAAGAGCGGTGCATATATATCTCTCCATGTATAACTTTTCTTGATTTAGCAGGATCAAAATGGAAGGTGACATCTATATTTTGCATCTAACCTTCACTTTTGTATCAGAATAAAGACATTCTCAGTGGTATAATTTTTCCAAAAAAAACAAACAAACAATCAATCAAATAATAATGCTTAAATTTCTCTCCTGAAAATGTTTCTTTATATTGAATAAGAGGCAAGTGCAAGCAAATTAATCTTCTAACATCACAACTTTAATGTATAAAATAGCTTCAACATAGATTTTCAAAACAAAGAGCAATGCACATATATTTTTCCATGTGTAACTTTACCTAATTGAACAGTAGAAAAAATGGAAGGTGGTTGCTTATCCAGCATCTAACCTTCATTTTGCATCAGCTCAAACACATTTTCAATGATTTTATTTAAAAAGCAAATATAAATAAATAGTGCTCAAACATTTCTCCAGAAATTATTTTTCAAGATGGAAATGCAGTTAATGTAATGCACTTTATCTAACTTATCTAACAACCGAACTTTCAAATTTCCATCTGATCAATGAAAACTTGTGGTGGAGGTAAATAAAACAGATGTGCTCATATTTCTTTATAGAAAATGGTTCTCTACACAATAGCAACCGAATTAACCATATAATATCAGAACTTTAATAAATAACATTGCTTCAACATAAATTTTCAAAACAAAGAACAGTGCACATATATCTTCTTAAAGCAGAGGCAATGAAATGCAATTAGAGTAATCAAATTAGTCTATCAGCTGATCTTTCATGATTTCCATTAGGTTAATGCAATTTGTCAGACAAGCAAGAGAACAAAAGGGGAAAATGGTAAAATAAAAACCATCAAACTACCAAAAGATAAACTGTGAAGATGATAAAACAAGAACCATCATACCATTAATAGCGAGTGTTGAAGGCCTTGAGAATGGATGAAGGGGAGCTCACAACCGAGTTTCTGCCCTAAAGACACAAATTACGACCCCCCTCCCCCACCATTTTGGCAGCAAAAACAGGGTGCCAAACACGACGTAAGTTGTGAGCACCGGGGAGCTTCACGAATATGATATGTTGTGTCAGAGTGAATGCCCATATAATGTCATATATCTTGAGCAATTAAAAAAAAGAATATATAATGATCTAAATCTGATGGGATACCTATGATTATATTTAAAAAAATTTACTTTTTTGTTTTTCACCAGTAGATGTAAACGTCAGTTCCTCATTCATCATCATGCCATCCCTTTTGTGCTAAAAATAATAATAATAATAATTGAACAAAGAAACTGTAGAAAGATGGAAATGAAGGGATTGCTTTAGTTTCTGCTCTCCGATAAATAGTATTACAGAGAGATTTGTTAAAAAATATATGAAAGAAGTAGATAAATATAGTCGAGTAGAACCTGAATTAGGCACTATAAGGATAGCCTCAACCCTAATGCCTAAAAGTAAAAAACAAATGTGAACTATTAAGGCTATAATCACAGTTAAGCATTTTAGTTGATGCTGATTTTTAAAGAACATTGGATGGAGCATGACAAACATTTCATAAATTACATTAAAATTCAAATAAAATTGTAATCTAAATAACACCCGTATCTTAAATAGTAGAACCATACAACCATAAAACCAAAGTATATCGTAGCAATCCTTCACTACTCACTACATTTTAAGGGCCATTAGCATATTTGAGTTGATTATATTCTATGTTCAAGGTACTTTGGAGATTGATGTAAAGTTCAAGAAGAATAAGACAATTATAAAACAGCTATTCGGACATGTTGATTTTAGTTTTATCTGCCACTTTGATAAATATCAATCAAAATTTAATTGTGTTTTCCATGATAGGAGGACCTGTGAGCTAGGATCCATGAATCAAATGCAGATATTAGTGGAGGCCACTTAACCACATTCAAGGCCACATATAAGGATAGCCTCAACCCTAATGCCTAAAACTTAAGCCCTCTTTCTAAAACAAAGAACAAAAAGAATAAAATTAAGATAAACCCCTAAGCTTGGATGTGTTTAATGAAGAGTAGTGGGAGCTACATTCAGATAAATTACTTAGGATCTAGTTTGATGTTTATAAAACCCGATCTTAGGATTCTTAACTGAGGATCTTCAAAATGCTCCTCTTAAGCAGCCTTATTTTCATTATTAACCCATCCAAATCATAATTGTCCTTTTGGAGGTTTAGTTTCTGTTGAATTAATGCCAATGGGAACACCCACTAACATTATGTGTAATTGGCTCAATGTTATGAAACACGTTATTACTGGCACTAAAATTATTGTTTTTATCAACTATATTATACTTATTTGTTTATGCGTTATTTATTTGTTAGTGAAATAATACTCTTTTTGTTAGAGTAAATGTTAATTGTATGAACTTTTTATCATTGAATTTCATATAGGTTGTATTTTTAATTGAGATCATCAGCAAATCCATAAAAAAACTCGAACAACGTACGTGAAAGTAATAGTAAAAAAAGAGAGACAAAAACAAACACTTATGTATGTCAAAATTGAAAATTGAGAAGAAACAAACAATAAACTGGAGGGTAATGCCTAAATTATCTAGGAGGGCCCCTTCAGCTCTATTTTTACATGTCTGGATATTCTAATTAACTGTTACTCGCCATGTTTCACACTCAACGAAAAGCACTCATTATTTGTTGACTTGGACAGATTCCTCTCAATGGCCTTGAAGCCCTCACTAAGCTTGAATCACTTGACCTTAGTGGCAATGCCTCTTCACTTCTGGATTCTTCTGCATTTTCTTTGTTCCCGCAGTTGAAGGAACTTCACCTGAGGTCTGTACTTGGCTCTTTCAGGATCCCTTCACGTACTGCTAAAATCACATTTATTCAATTTTCTGGCTGCTTTTGTGATTTACAGAAGAATGAAGTTATCTCATATTCCATCGGGTATTTTGAGCTTACAGCAGCTTAGGGTTCTTGACTTAAGCCAGAATTTACTTGTCTTGCTACCAGAGGTATAGCTTACCTTACCTCTGAAAGTAAGTTGCCATAGTAATGGGCTCAGAATTAAATCCGGAGTGGATAATTCATATTTCACATTATCTTTTGCCTTGAATGCTAGTGTTAATGTTGTATAAATAATGGAGTAAAGTGTCAAAATAGTCGTCTGACTATTTACATGTTGTCATTTTAGTCCCAGAGTCCATAAAAGAATAAAATTAGTCCCTAGAATTTTTACACCCTCATTAAAAGTGTATGGGGACTAAATCTAGAGGTATAACTTACCTTCTAAAAGTAAGTTGCCATGGTATTGGGATTAGAATTCAATCTGGAGTGGATAATTCATATATCACATTCTCTTTTGCCTTAAATGGTAGTGTAAATATTGTATAAACAATGGAGTATATTGTCAAAATAGTCATCTGGCTATTTACATGTGATCATTATATGTCAAATTAGTTCATGGACTCTTTTAATATGAGCTAAAATATAGAACCCAGAGGTAACTATTTTAGCCCTCATTAAAAGTGTATGGAGACTAAATTGACACTTTTATTCTTTGGGACTAAACTGGCTTCCTACAAAAATTTAGGGGACCATTTTAACAATTTTCTCATAAACATTGTCAAAATTTTGTGTGTTAATGTAGATTGACTTTATTAGTTTTATCTATTTGATCCCTTGTTTTGAATATGAATTCAGAGACATAAATACAGTCATATTATGTAACCATGTGGAGATTTTTATTTTTTTCCTTTAATCATTTCTGGGTGCATGTGAATTCCGTATTTCTGAAATTCATCAGAAAAAATTCCTAATTTTTTTTCTGAACAGGAAGTAAGGAATCTAACATCACTTCAAGAGCTTGACTTGTCGAACAACAACATTGCTGCGCTTCCTTCTGAATTGGTCTGACTTCCTTGCATTCCTTATTAGCTAGAACTGAAATCACTATAAGAATCACTGCTTCGAATGTGAAATATTTGTGTTGTCGTTTTTATAAACCATTTATGAATTATTCTCTATCATTTTATTTCAATTTCTTGTATATTTTTTATGTTCTGAGAATCTTGCTATGCATGCTTGCAGTGGGAAATGATTGAAAAGCTGTATGTTCTGAATAAAAAACTTTTTTGAGCAGGGCTTGCTAGAGTCTCACCTCCAGGTTCTGAAACTTGATGGCAACCCCTTGAGAAGGTAAGAAGTACTAAACTATGTTTTGTTATATTATTTATTTTGGATGGAAAATTTTCAGAATAATATTTGCTATGGTGCTTAAGAAACAATATAATACTAGTTAACTTTTATGTATCATTAAAAAAATGGGCATTTACATACATACCACACAATCCCCTATATATTTACATATTTAACATCTAAACTTTACTTTTTTACATTTATACCAGCCAAATCTTTTATATCCCTAGAAAAGTTCACTAATTTAACTTTAAAAAAATGAAGTACATCCTTCATGCATAGGTAAGATGTCATATATGTAAAAATTTAAGTGTATGTGTTAGATGTGTAAATACATAGGACATGAGTGGTAAAAGAAACTGCTACGTATTCCTGTTGGTAAGGATTTTGTAAGATGCTGCCAAGGCCAGGGATTCAAAACTTATGCACGTCAATCTCATCCTGGGGACTATGAAGTTACATTTTCCATCATTTTTGGGGATTACTATTTTGTTCTCATAAATCAAGCATATTGCTTCCCTTCTGATATTTTGGTACAACTCTCTTGCTATATATATATATATATATATATAGCGAGAGAGTTGTACCAAAATATCAGAAGGGAAGCAATATGCTTGATTTATGAGAACAAAATAGTAATCCCCAAAAATGATGGAAAATGTAACTTCATAGTCCCCAGGATGAGATTGACGTGCATAAGTTTTGAATCCATGGCCTTGGCAACATCTTTCAAAATCCTTACCAACAGGAATACGTAGCAGTTTCTTTTACCACTCATGTCCTATGTATTTACACATCTAACACATACTTTGACTAACCTAATTTGTTTGAGGTATACTTTGTCTGTTAAAGGAAGAGGTTCTCAGTTTTCCTTTCAGCTTTTTCCTTGTGGTTCTCATTTGATTTTGGCTCATGATACATAATTAATGTGATGCCTCGTTTTTTTTTTATTTTAAACCCAAAAATATGCATCATAGTGTCTCTTAGATTACATATATTCAAGACACAGTTTATATATATATATATATATATTTATTTATTATTTTTCTTTCTTCAATATTAATTAACTGCTTTGTTTTGTCTGATGGCCCAAATTTTCAAAATGTATTTTTTAAATTTAAATTTGCTAAATCAGTAATTAAAAAAAAATTAAATATTGTCAAAACGCCTACAGTTTGTAATTTATGCCTATTACACCATGATTCTAAAAATCATCTAACAGGCATCATGAAATCAGACAAGAATTGAGCGATATGCGATGATTTTTTCCAAGCGGTTGGGTATCCGTTCTTACTTTATCATTAAATTTGAATGTTTGTAATTTCCGTGAGTTATTCGTCTAGATTCACCAAAAGGGGTTGGCATAAAAGTTGTAGAAAATTCTCTCATCTTTTCAACGAAATCAATAACGTCTTAATCAGATAAGAATTGAGCGATATGCGGCGATTTTATTCTAGCACGATGTGTTATAGTTCCTATTTTGCCACGAAAATTGATTTTTTTTCTTTTTTGTCATGTGAGTTGTTTCATCGGGATTCGTCAGAATCTGTTAACATAAAAGTTGTCGAGGATACTTTTATCTTTCGAAATATATCACAAACTTTTAAATGGGACGTGGATTGGGTGATGTGTGGTGATTTTACTGTAACAACCAAATTTATTTTAATTTATTTTAACATGTCGATGTTGTAATTTGAAAAACCTAGTAAGATTTTCTCGTCTGCGGGGCAAGTAGTTGCAACTATAATTATTTTTTTATAGTGAAACTCTTCAACTAGATAAGTCCCAGTGGTTTTTTCTTTTCCGAGTTTTTCACGTAAAGAACGTATAATTTAATTATTAGTTGTCTTCTCTTTTTTGAGTGTCTGTGAATCTACGTACTAAGCTAAGACGATAATTTGTTTACTTTCGCAAATTGTTTAGCACTCATGACGTAAATCTTACTAAATTATTTATTTAAATTCATCAATAACCAGATCTAAAAGCAACTTATTAATTTCATATCGGATGCGTATCGCGGAAGCTAATTTTTATCTTAAGCTAAGCAATGATTAACAAAGGTGAAAGTATAATTAAATATTTTTTATCCTTAATCATTAATTTCTAGTGTTAAACACCAATTGATGAAGTAATTCAAGATGACACGTGTCATGTATCTGAAACAGCCAAAGCTTACAGGGGTTGGTTTCTTGTTGGCAGAAAAAAGGAATAATAATTATGTAGAAACTCATGTACAAATACTTTTAAATAATTTTATTTTATTAATTGAAAATAAAATAAGAAAATTTAAATAATAGATTTGAACTCGTCTTATTGGATAATTAAATAAATGAGATGATCTTTATTATTTTCTAAAATTTGATTGATTTATCTGACACGAATCTCAAGGCATGAACACAAATCTTCGATGAAATTTTTTGAACAATAAACATTCAAACTACAATTAAGAGTCATCCATAACTTTGATTTTAGCAAACTTATAGTGAAATTGACCAGCTCAATAAGACAGAACTAATGATATCAAAGCAAGTCAAATGCGAGTCAAATAAAGCTCAGATTAAGTCATTAAATCACTTTTGAAAGATTTACAAACACATTTGAAAGGTCAAAAGAATGTCTAATCTGGTGAGTTTATAGTCACATCGAGCGTCTCAAAAAGACGAATCCAACGAGCCCAAGATTGTTCAATTTTGACATCGTTAAGTTACTCAAATGTCCATCAAACGTCGTTTGGTTGAATGAAGCTCTCTGAACCGTATGATAAAACTGATCAATATTTCTGCATTAATTGCACCTAGAATATTATAAATAGAGCCTCACCCCTTTATGATGGAGGAGTTTGAGCCTTGAGAGAGAACTTGAGGCTCTGAGAAATAGCTGAAGTTCAGTACTATCCCTATCATCGTTGATCGGCCCCGACAACTGTCCATCGTCACCGACCAATGCCGACCTCCGTTGACGACCTCCAATTACGGTCGACGACCACCAACCATCATCAAGCACTATTGTTGGTGTTAATCTTCGCTGACAATAGTCAAACACCACTAACCATCGTCGATCACCACAAATTGTCGTCAATCACCACAAATCAGACTCCGTCAATCAACATTGTAACTCGGAAAATCTAGCAACTCTTTCCTGTTTGTGGAACAAGGGGTTTCTGTAATCATCAACTTATAGTGGATTTTTATAACTGGGCTAGGTCTCGTGGTTTTTTCACTTTACAGGTTTTTCCACATAAAAACATATGATATCATTATTGGTTGTTTTCTTTCACCAAAATATGTGTTAAATTCTAGTACAATGCTAAGATGATAATTCATTACGCTACGTTAATTTTTTAGCACGCATCATATCAATGAAAAATATTATCTAAATATTTTTATTGGCATATTTTAAGAATAAAATATGATTCAAAATTTCTAACTGAGCTTTCGAACTATTCTCGATAGCGACTTACAATGTTCCTTAAAAAAACGATAAAGCATAATATTAACAATATAAATTATTAACTTTTATTGAATCGAGATGTTACGTATTTCTATTATAATAGTTTTCATCAATATATTAATATATTAACACTATTTAATTTGTCTATATCTGATTTTGTCTTATGATCATATTATTTGTATTAAAATTTATTAACTTTATACTTTAAATATTATTACTTATTTATCAAATGATTTGACCGTTAACTATTACTAATAAAAAACGCCACTTGTTGTATTCAATTTATTATATATTTAAATTACATAGAGATTGTCTGAAACTTATTATTTAAAAATTGATGTGTGCCTGAAAATTCGTGTCAGTAGAGTAACGGATTATCATCTTAGCGTTGTACAAGAATTCTACACCCACTAAGATGAAAAAAACAAAAAATTGTGACTACTCCAAAAGTTTTTTTTGTGGAAAGTCCGTAAAAGGAAAAAACCACGAGGCCTAGTCCAGTTGCAAAAATTCACTTACTGAGTGATAATTACAGAAATCTCTTATCCCACAGAAGAAAAATTGTAACTATATTTTTCATATTACTACGTTGACAGACGACATTTCGTTGATAGAGTGGCGGATGTCAACGACAATTGGTGATGGTCTTTGGCGGTCGACGATGGTTGACTGCGATCGGCAGTGGTCGACGACAGAGCTCGGCGGTGTTCGACGACAATCGACGGTGATGATTAACTACAACTTCTCCTCAAGGTCTTAGGCTCTTTCTTCAGACTTCTGCCCCCCTCATGAGAGAGATGTGACTCTATTTATAATGGTATGGGTACAATTAATGCATGAATATGAATCATTTTTATGGGACGATCCGGAGAGCTTCCATTGATCATAAGACATTTACTAGACAGCCTTAATGATGTCAGAATTGAGTGATATTGAGCTCGTTGGATTCGTCTTATCGAGCCGCTTGATTCGAGTATAAACTTATCATATTCGGCAACCCTTTAATCTTTCAAATGTGTTTGAAAATCATTTAAGTGTATTTCAATGACTTGACATGAGCTTGATTTGACTCGGATTGGGCTTAGTTTTCATATCATTAGGTCTGTCTCATCAAGCCGGTCAGTTTGACTATAAGTTTGCTGAAATCAGAGCTCAGAATGACTTTTTATTAAGATTTCAATGTTTCATGCTTAAAATATTATATCGAGATTCATGCGTGATGAAAATTTGTTGGTGGGGTATGAAAAATCAACTACTTTCTCCCTTTCATATTTAAATTTTTACTACAAACTAATTTTTATGGTAAGATCCCGAACATTATTTTCATTTTTATTAAATTTTTAATAATTTGATCACGACACATATAAAACACATGAGTTTGAAGGTTAAAAAAAAAATAGAATATTTAATTTATAAATATTAATATTTTGGATGGCTGTATATAATTATTAGTAGTTTAAAGAAATTGACCGTTGAGTGTTAAACTCATGTACCAATCAAAGGGGAATATTGACGGCCTTACTTTTTGTTTTTTTGTTGAATTGTCTTCTTCTTTAATACCCGGAACGCGGGGAGGTAAGAAAAAATTTTTTTCGGAGCAATCCGGAGCCAGTGAAGCGGATGCTGCAGAGGAAGAGATCGGTGGATTCTTGTTTTCCTTCTTATCTTTGGCAGGAAAAGGTTTGGCTTCTACGACCTGATTTCTCTCTCTTTTTTTTGGGTTTTCTAGAATGCATTTTGACCTAATTGGCCGTGTTTAGAGATTCGTCGTTCCTTGAGATTCTGATATTTTTTATGGGTGATAGAAATTAGGATTGATAAGGATTGGGAGTAAAAATGGAGCTTTTGGTGCTGATTTTTGATCTTGTAAAGGTGAACTGCGATGCATAAGCTGCTTGTGGCTGTTGTTGGTGCAAAGCCCAAGCGTGTATGCATTAAATTTTGAAAATTGTTTGACATGATGGATAAGTTTGATAGATAATTAATTTCAATATTCAAGATCTAAATCAAAGAGAAGAAGAAGAAGATGCACAATGAGAAGAAATGGTGTCTAGTGTTTTAATCTTACTTCCTTTTGGATTTATTAAATTCGGCATTTAGCCTTGCCGCATGCTAAAAAAATTGCAGTGGTAAACTTAGTATTTTAATTTTTAGCTTTATACGAAGATTTTGCAGGCATATAAATAAAAGAGAAAAACATTGGAGACGCTAGAGTTTTTACATGAAAAATCTGATAAGGAGAAAATCATGTGGCCTGGTCCAGATAAAATGATCTATTATATAAATAAAATTATATAGTTCCATTATTTCCTTTCATGTTGAAGAGGTTACAAACTAATGTTATCTAATTTGGTTTACTATAAATGCCATAGAACTTGAAGTGATGGAGGGATAATAATATATAGTGGCCAAATGATATTAGTCACACAACTACTGTCGAACAATATCAATGGAGTTGTGTTTCTTAGACATTGACAATCAAATAACGACAATGATTGATGGTGATCATCGTGGCCAAGTGTCATGTACAGCTCTATAGGTTGAAGTTCTTTAGTTAGAGCTCTCTTCAAACTAAGACTATAATCATTTCATGTGCGGAATATGGCTCTGTTAAAATTTTTAAGAGTAGCATTTACTAAAACTAGTCAAAAACACTATAGTCAATGGCCTTTGTTGATTATATTGATCATACATCATTATTTTAATATTTAAGTGCTTCAATAATATTAGAATTGAGTGATCTTGAGCTCGTAGAATTCCTTTTGTCGAGACGTTTAATTTGTTTGTAATATCTGCAGACCGTTTGCTTGTTTAATTAATTACTTGATATCTTTTACTATACTTCAAATGCTTGGTTTGGGCTTATTTGATCCAGCTTGTAAAGGCATTTAGTTTGGCTATAAATTTGCTAAGTTGAAGTTTGGATGGTTTTAAATTCAATAAGAATTCAACTGTAATTTTAAACCCTGCAGACTCCTTTGAACGCCAGTCTAATGCAATAATTTAGTTTCCATACACAAAATGGCTGAAAGCTTAATTATTATTTTTCTAAATCTTGTTTTCTATCCAAAACAACCAAATGATCCTTTGGTAAAGAACAAATGAAAGTTGATATAACCTGTGAAAGAGATTTGTCTCACTTATACTGTTGAAAATCTTTCATTAAATCTTTAAATATGTTGTAGATTTTGTCATTATCAATGAGTTGTGGTTTCTTTATATAATTTGATAAACTGGCTATATCAACTTTTTTACTCGCTGAAGCTATGAAATCCTTGAAATTTAAGTTATATCCATGTCTTGATGGGCTTAATTTAGCATCTCATGTCAAAATAGCTTTTAATTTTACATATAGTTAGTGTAAACTGTTTTATTATCAAGATTTAAACTCTTGTTTAAGAAAATTTTAAACTTACTTGAATCAATAATTTTCTATTTGTATCAATTAAAAGATTTCTATTCATGCAAAATTCTAGATTGTGATTGGCAGTTAAGGGGAGTGGATATGCTTTTCAACTGGTGCTGCTTTGGCGCGAGGAAAAGTGGTCAGCAAGATTTACTTGGTAAGAGATGCATTGCCATAAATTTATTTTATTTCCTTTGCAGAAGTAAATTTTTTTTTAAAAGATTTGTATCAGAATCTCTTGACCAAAAAGTTTTAGGGTCATGGGCTATTTATGTTTTTTCATTTCTTTTAATTTGTAGCAAATAGTTTAAATTATTCTTATTTAATAATTTAAGTTTTAATTTATAACAATAATAATAATAATAATAATAATAATTAGTATACGCATAACTCAATTATTATATTGTAATAAAAAGTTGAGGGTGTTTTTTAAAAAGCCAGTTAGTGTCCCCTCAACAACTATGTCAGTATAAACATTCCTCATTCGGCCGTTGTGCTATACTATTTTATTATATAAAGTCTACTTTGCCACACAATTGGACAACTTAGTTTGATTTTTCGATAGAAAGATTAATGCATCAAAAAATAAAGGCCTAAGTTAAAGCCATAGTTCTTCGCTCATTTAAACGTTTTGAATATTTTTATGATAGGTATTTTCATCTGACCCTTTGGCATCACTTTTTTATTTTCTTTATCATTATGATAGTCTTTTTTATATGACACATTGTATTTCAACAACTTTCTTCACTCTTATTGTGGTTTTCTCTTACCAGAATTTTCATCTGCAAAGAATATAAAGTTGTTCTCTTACAATGTACTAAGCTCGGCGACCGATAATTTTCATCAAAGAAATAAGATAGGCCGTGGCGGTTTTGGAACTGTTTACAAGGTTGACTCGCTATCTTATTTTATCTTCCACTTATGGATTGACTTACCCCTTTTTTCGTTTATTTACCTATTTATTTATTTTTCTGTTATTGTTCTTTGATCAAAAGATTTTTGAATAACAAAAAGTCCATATCTGAGTTTTTCTTTCTCACAAAAAATGAGCTTAATTTTATAAAATTAAATTAAAATATGACACTCACTTGGACACAATGGAGAAAAAGGATTCATGTAGCCGGCCCACTTAGTGGAATAAGGACTTTTTGTTATTCTTGTTGTTGTATTTCATGTACATGATTAGGTTCCAACTACTCAATCAGTCACATTTTTTTCTTTTTTTTTTTTTTTCATTGAGAAAACTAGTCTTTAGCATTTTTTTATAGTATTCATTGGAGGTTTACAAATCCGGCACCCTCTTTCATCCAAAAGAGGTGGTTTACAAATCCGGCACCCTCTTTCATCCATTTTTTTAATTCACAATCGAATATCAAAATTCATGTTAAAACCCCAATCCATATTTTTCATTTTTATCAAATTCCTAAAGCTTTGATAGTGGAATGCGTAAATGTCAAAAAAATCACCTAGGCGCTAATTTTGTAGATAGCAATGTTTCAAGTACTGTGGATGTAATTGTCCCAAAAAAAAAATTGTGGATCAGATACTGCTACATTTCATGAGTTTGGGTTGTCCTCTTTTTCTAAGCTCTAAAGTGCATTACTTGCTGGTGATAATTGTGCTATAAATTGTGAACACATGATCATCAAGGCACTATTGCATTATTATTATTATTATTATTATTATTATTATTATTATTATTATTATTATTATGTTGTTGTTGGAGCATTTACATAAGACCTAATTCTTATGTATTTACGTGTCTTACACCTAAACTTTACTTTTTTACATTTATAACACCCAAATCTTTCATATCACATTAAAACTGCCTCCATTTTAACTTTTATCTTTTCATGCATATGTAAAAATTGGGGTTTAGGTGTTAGATATGTAAATACATAACAATTAAGTGGTATGTATGTAAATCTTTCTATTTTGTTATATGGCAGGGAATCCTTAAGGATGGCACACCAATTGCTGCAAAGGTTCTTTCTGCCGAATCAAATCAAGGCGTTCGAGAATTTCTAAATGAGATTGACGTGATAACAAATGTTAATCATCCAAATCTTGTCCAGTTAATTGGTTGTTGTGTTGAAGGAATTAATCGTGTTTTGGTGTACGAGTATGTCCAAAATAGTAGCCTTGATCATGCGTTGAAAGGTAAATAAAATAGCAATGGGATTTTAAAATGTTGAATATGAAATTTTCATGGCGGCTTAAAATTTTTTATATATTATCCATATTAATTTTAATTTATTATTCATTTCGTTTAGGGACTAATAGTGAAAGAACTAGATTGCATTGGGGCATTAGATCTAAAATTTGTATTGGAGCTGCTGAGGGGCTTGCATATCTTCATGAAGGCATCGAGCCACACATCGTCCACAGAGACATCAAAGCTAGCAACATTCTTCTTACGGAAGAATTTCTTCCGAAAATTGGTGACTTTGGTTTGGCCAAATTATTTCCAGATAATGTTACACATATCAGCACGCGGGTCGCTGGAACAACGTGAGAATTATCTCATTTCATTATTTATTGAATATTATCCTTTTTAATTGTCTTAAAGACCATAGGATGAATATTTTCAAATCCACTGCTTAGACCAAGAGCTTGAAATTCTTCGATGTTTAGTTCTTTTCTTTCTTAGTACTGGTTTGTGCAAAAATCTTTATATGTTTGGTTTGGTGATGTTTTACATACCTTGTGATTTTAATGGCTCTTGTATGATTTAGTATTACTGTGGATTGTTATACATATATGTATCAATTTGTAGTATTACCATCCGACTGTTTTTTTATGCTTTATAGATTTCAAGCTCCTCGACCGGATCGTCGCATCTTCGTCTTGAATTATCATCAAAGGTTTTTTTTCATGCATATGAAAAATAAGCATTATTTGAAATTATTGTCTTTGGTTGTGTTGTGATGTTTTATATGCACTGGGTTGTGCTGTGTTGTTGAGTAAATCAGACAAATTTTTGTTAAAATGATTGTCTAAATTTCTATTAGATTTGGTTGATTGGTAAACAAAATGTCATAATAGTAATATGAGTCAACTGCTTTGATATATTTCAATTTATGCATTGCCCAAGAAATATATCGACCTTCTTTGACGCATACCGTTCGTGTTTCTTAGATGTAAAGAGCGGATTCTTGTGTTCCTGAACCTCTTCTAATTGTGTGAACTCAGAATGACATTAACTAATTTATTGCATTTGTGAGCAACAAAATTTATGAGCTTATATACTCTTTCATTTATGTTCTATCAATATCTTTCATGATTTTTGGTAAAAGTATACTTATTGCTGTGTTTTCGAAGCCGGATAAATTTGTGCTTCTATTCTTAATGAAAAATTGTATTTTCATCTGCAGGGGTTATTTGGCGCCTGAATATGCAATTCAAGGCCAATTGACAAGAAAGGCTGACATATATAGTTTTGGGGTCCTTGTGCTCGAGATAGTTAGTGGAAGGAGCGTTTCGAAGCCTTATTGGTCTAATGATGACAAAGTTCTTCTAGAAAGGGTAAGCAATTTCTTATTTGGCGCCTACTTATTTTAGCAAGCCTGCAGTTTTTTGAGGTGTTTTGGATTAAAGCTATTGATTGTAGTTCATGACAGGTGATAACAGATCGTTACAACCAATAAGGACATAAAGGTTGGTGTTGGATGGTTTGAACGAATAGGCTAACGATAACTGGAACAACCTTGCGGTGGGTCGAAAATCGAACTGGATTGATGTCATATATGAATTTTGATGAAATTGATTTATTGTTTCTGATTGGGCCAAGCTGATTTTGGACTTCTCTTTCAGTTTAAATCATGTGATGGTTACTCAAGTTGGCCAATATTGTCAAGTTAGTTTGCCTCGGCGGGCGGAAAGAGGTGGCATCTTTTATCGTTTAGTGACAATTGGATAAAGAAATAGTTGGGCTTGTTGGGGAAAAGGCCACATCAAGCATGGTAGCAACTTCTTTAGGATTGATACGTCACCATCAAATTTTCATCATCTGACACGAATCTCGATGCATAACACAAATCTCAAGACGATATTTTAAGCAAATAACACAAATTTCAAGACGATATTTTAAGCAAGAAACATTTAAATCTTGATAAAAAATCATCAAGAGCTCCGATTTCAACAAACTTATAGTCAAACTGACTGGCTCGATAAGACGGACCTAGTGATATAAAAGCTAGTCAATATGATATGAAAACTAGTCAAATCCGAGTCAAATCAAGCCAGATCAAGTCATTAAACCACCCTTGGAAGATTTCTGGACACATTTGGAAGGTCAAACAGATGTCGACACTGACAAGTTTATACTCGAATCGAGCAGCTTGACAAGAAGAATCCAACTAGCTCAAGATCACTCAATTTCGACATCGTTAAAACACTCAAACGTCCATTAAACGCGACATGATCAGAGGAAACTCTATGGACCGTCCGATCAAAATGATTGATATTCCTGCATTAATTGCACCCAGAACACTATAAATAGACATCCACCCCTCACATGAAAGGAGAGCTGAATTCTAGAGAGAGAGTCTGAGATATTGAGGAGAAGCTGCAGCTCAGCACCACTATTGACCTCCGTCGACCGCCGCCGACCGTCGTCGACCTCTGACAACCGTCATTAACGACCACTAATCACCATCGATCACCACCAACCAGACGCCGTCATTTAACGTTGTAATCTAAAAAATATAATTACCATTTCCCATCTATGGGACAATGAATTCCTGTAATCAATAATCAATCGTGGATTTCCGCAACTGGGCTAGACCTCGTGGTTTTTTCCTTACGGATTTTCCACGTAAAAACTTCCGAAGTCATCACCGCTTGTTTCTTTTTCATTTGTGTGTGGTGAACTTTCGTACAATGCTAAGACGATAGTCTGTTACTCTACCGCCGTGAATTTTTTAGTACGCATTAGTTTGACGCCGTCTGTAAGAAACTCTCAATCCCACCACTGAAGTACTTGATTAATTTACTACATTGCCGCTAGGCAAAATATTCGGGACAACGAAATAGCTCGCTCTAACTCTTATCGTTCCAGGAAACAACCACGAAGTCATGGGCGACATGTTTCTTCATCTCCCTGTCCTAGAAGACGTTATCCAACCAAGAGGGGGTTTCTGGTCCTTCTATGGAAGAACAAATACGTAAAATGGAGGAGTCTCAACTGGAAATCATACAATTCCTCCGAGGGATCCAACAATCACTGTCCACATCGATGACCGAAACTCGTTTACCTTTAAATTCGCGACCTACGAGAAACATATGGCCCGGAGGAACTAGTACCGTCCGCCCTGCTCAAGAATGAACAATTCTCTTGCCATAACATGATGTTGAACTTTTAGACACCGCAAGTTCCACTCATTCATCTCATGCAGCTCCCTTGACACCACCATGTCTTGCTACCGTTCTAAATGATGTCATCTGTAACGAACTACGTCGCATCGTCCAAGAAGAGTTCCCCCTAGAGAAAAAAGATTGCTTCCATAGTCACCCTAACATTCTTGAATCTTTTCTTAGTGAATGAAATCTTCCAACACCCCATCCTAACAGACTTGAAGCTGCGCTTCCATAGTCACCCTAACATTCTTGAATCTTCGCTTAGTGAATGAGATCTTCCAACACCCCATCCTAACAGACTTGAAGCTGTCGAACGTTGACGCATATGAAGGGATAATTGATGTCTATGAACATATTGATCATTATCGAACCATCATGCAGATTCAGCAAGCCTCTAACGCGCTCTATGTCAGGTGTTCCCAGCCATTCTTAAGGGACAAGCTCGAACATGGTTCCACTCTCTGTCGAGGGGCACTGTAAACACCTTCAACGAGCTTGTCAAACTATTTGTGGAGCAGTTCATAGCAAATCGACGAATCATCAAGGATTCATCCCTTCTCTCAGGAATTCGTCAAAGTGAAGGAGAGTCGCTTAAAGACTACTTCCGCAGGTTTTCTGCTGAAGCCCGTCGAATTCCAGGAGTAAATCCAGAGTTATTTGGGGGGGGGGTTTCCTTGAAGGGCTCTGCTCGATACTAAATTCAAGTGTAGCACCCGCAGTTTGTTCTTATGCCGATCTTGTCCACAGTGTTGAGGCTCAAATCACTGCAGACGAGATTTTCAGTGCACATAAGCAAAAATTTGAGAAATTTGGGGGAAAGCGCAAATGTAACTCCAGAGACAATAATCAATCTTCGTAACAGAGAAAATTTGAACAACCGAAGTATCATGACTTCCTCCTTCAATCTGCGGGTCAACAAACTGAATATCAACCCAAGAAAGAGTATACACAACTCAACACGTCACGTGCTAACATCTTGATGACCATCAAGGATGAGCAAGCTGTTAAGTGGCCTCACTCCTTAAAACTTAACTCGGGAATTCAAGAACAATACTGTCATTTTTATCGAAGTCGTGGTCACACCGCCGAGACATGTAAGCTCCTTAGGGAAGAGATTGAAAGGTTGATTCAACAGTGATATCTTGGTCGATTTATACAAAACAAACTAGCTGGCAGTGATAATGCTCCTACTGGGGGCAACAAACACAAAGGCAACAACATGTGGGTCACCCAGTCGTGGGTGAAATTCAAACAATTGCAGGATGTCAATTGCTAACAGATCAAGTTCTTATCACTGCACTTGGTGAACCAACACATAATAAATTACGTCTTGAACCTATTACTTTTGATGATTCTGATCTAAAAAGAGTTTGAGTACCTCACCAAGATCCTCTTGTCATTAGCGCAGGAATTGGAGAACCCTGCTGCAATGTAAAAAAGATCTTGATCGACAATGAGAGCTTTATTGATGTTTTGTTGCACTCCACTTTCCTTAATTTATGACTGACAAGAGAAAAACTTTAACATGCATCTGGGCCATTATATGGTTTTCATAATCAACCAGTACGGGTCGAGAGAACAATAAATCTCCCTGTTGTCATGGGAGATTTTCCTCGACAGATAAATTCATTTTTGTCAAGCCAGAATCAACATACAATGTCATCTTCGGGAGACCTCTGCAATCCATCTTTGGCATCGTAACATCTGTGCTACACTTGAAGCTCAAATTTCCAACCCCAGTAGGGATCAACGTCATACGAGGAGATCAACAGATAGAACAATCATACTACCTCAGGCAGGTTCAGCCACGCCCATCAGTGACACTTAGCATTGAAAACTGTGATCTCCGAGATGAAGATGTATCTCCAAGAGCTTCCCCCGTGGAAGATTTGGTTCATGTCCCGCTCTCTAATGAACACTCATCAAGACCAGTGCAGCTTGGTTCCTTACTCTCTGATTAACAAATGTCAGAATATGTAGATCTCGGAAGAAACCAAAATATTTTTGCATGGACCCCAACCGACATGCCTGGGGTTGGCCCTGAAATAATCATGCACTCTTTAAAGATATATCCAACCTTTAAACCGATCGTCTAGAAAAAGCGCAATTTTATCCCAGATCTCTTACAAGTTATTGAATAAGAAGTCAACAAGCTTCTCGATGCGAAGTTCATACGGGAAGCACACCATCCAGCATTGCTGGCCAATGTCGTCATGGTGAAAAAAGTTAGTGGTTTGTGGAGAATGTGTGTCGACTATACATGCCTCAATAAAACATGTCTGAAGGATAGCTTTCCCCTCCCACGCATAGATCAACTTGTTGATGCCACTTCCAGACATCAGATGCTTAGCTTTATTGATGCACACTCAGGGTACAATCAAATAAAGATGAACCAGTAGACGAGGAAACCACATCTTTTCAAACAGATAAGGGCTTATAATGTTATCAAGTTATGTTGTTCAACGTCTCATGAACAGTTTTCAAAAATCTTCTCGGGCGTAAAATGGAGTTTTACGTTGATGACATGCTAGTAAAAAGCCTGGAAGCATCTCAACACACTTCTCATCTGGAGGAGTGTTTCCAACTACTTCGTCAATACAATTTACGACTTAACCCGACTAAATGTGTTTTTGGAGTAACATCAAAGAAGCTTTTGGGATTATAGGTTACCGATCGTTGAATTGAAACAAACCTAGAAAAAATCAAAGCACTGAGGGACATGATGCCTCCCAAGAACATTAAGGTGGTACAACAGTTGAATGTTCGTATAACCGTTTTATCTCGCTTTTCAGCTCATTCTTGGGATAAGTATCTGACGTTCTTAAAGATACTCAGAGGTGCTCGGAACTCCAGTTTTCAGTGGACAGATGATTGTCAGATTGCTTTCGATCAACTCAAGACATATTTGGCTCCACTGCTCCTCTCAAAGCCCATCCAATGAGAGATATTATATATCTATTTGACAATTTCACCTCATGCAATAAGCTCTGTTCTTGTCAGAATAGAAAATTCAGTCGAGAAACCAATATATTACATTAGCAAGATTCTCTCTGATACAAAAAGTCGTTATCCAATGGCTGACAAAACTACACTAGCCCTGCGCTTGCTCTAGTATTCTCAGCAAGGAGACTTCGTCCGTACTTCCAACTCCCTTTGAAGACTATCCT